TAAAATTAAAAAAGTAAAGAAACAGCTTACATATGTCTCACGAGCTCACGACTGTGCTCAGTGCACTGTGCATAAAAAATATTAAAGGTAATGAATTACACCGTCCGTAATGTTTTTTGAATAGGAAAAAGTCCGCCGCGGTTTCATTTGTCTACAAGATTTTTTTAACTCCTCAAAGTACTTCATAAATCTAAGTTATCCTACCAAGTTATTCTTCACCACTTCACCTGTTTACGTGTTCAATCAGCACATAAAATTTCCTATAACAGTTTCATTGATCCTTGTGGAATTCGTACACGTTTTTCTCCCGTGCTATGAAATCTTACGGGCCGCTACATGGCTCGCGTATTTGTTTAAATATAATTCAATAAAAATTTAAAACAAGCTTCTGCACGATAGTGGAACACGTGGACCTTGTAAGCAGTCATCCAATTATGCCACTATCTATTTTATCAAACAGGGATTGAAATCTCACAATGAACTTAAGTCGCATGGTTGATCAAAATGTGGCGCTAGTCGTTATTTGTGCAGTCGGTATTTGTGTTTTTAGGGGCTATCTACTTTTTATTAAAAATATATATCAACCAATAAAAAACACATTATATTCGCACGACCGAGGAAGGGCCATGCTCTCACAGATTACCAGCGTAAAATGGCAGCTTGACACTGCTGTGTTTCGTATGGTGAGTGTAGAGAATCGGAGACCCATTTTACTGGAAAAGAGGCATTCCATCTCACGGGTCTTCACCCATCTGCACGCACGCATCTGCATTTTGATTCTTTATTGAGGATAAATGTAGATGTCTATGGGTTACAGCAACCGCTTATCATCAGGTGGACTGTGTGCTCTATTTGTCACCCTATCTAATAAAAAAAAGAACAAGGTACAGGGAGCTTTGATTATTTTTGGCAAATCATTTATATAAATTAAAAATAATAAACAACCAAGAACACTACCTTGTGGTATTGGTTTAGTGACCGGTGCAAATTTAGATCTGACTTTAATCACGATTCCACTGGTTAGGTCACGGTGTTCTATCTCTACACACTCGATTGACAAAGTATGACTCGAACCAGTTGTGGGGTGGGCCTTTTACTCCTATTCCGTGTAATTTCCGTGAAAGTATGTCAAATCGAACTCGATTATAGGCTTTGGTCATGTCCAGTAAAATACCAATCGCATATTTCTTTTTATTGAATATATTTATGTCTCTTTTATTTCTTTTATTGAATATATTTATTGAATATATATATATTAATTAATTTAGCAGTAAGTAGATGGCGCTATTATTAGATTAAAACTTTTAAAGCCAAAACTGTACCGTCTAGTAATATCCGCGACAGTAGGTTAAGGTGCGGTTTTATATAATACTAACTGTGTCCTGTGGTTTCACCGCTGATCCGCGCGACATGATATGACATCTCGCTCAAAGAAGCAATCGTTACTGATTTATCTAGGTTCTTATCGAACGTATAGGGTTTATCGTTCGCGCGTATTATTTAATTTTTTATTATCTTTTAAAATATGTGTCAAATAACATGTAACACAGGGCAAAGTTTATCTTCATCAAATTGTCTTGATGATGAAGTAACTTTTGTTCGTAAGAATTAATATGCTACGCATTATAATAACACGCTCACAAATCACCTTTCAATTTACAATATTTTTTGTCACAAACTACCATAAGTATAAGAAATAGGCATATTAAGGTATCCCGGACTTTTTTTAGATGGAATAAAGTCTATGTTTTTATTTACATATACCTAACCATTACTCCAGCGCAAATAAATAAGTATAGAAGTAAATAATTTTTTTTTCGATTGACATGTATGGTTACACTACGCTCTTGTAAAAAACGCTATTTCTATTTTAAAATAATCGAATTTAATAAAATAATAAAGAACAAATGTGACCTTATTTAGAGGTGTAACTAAGGTGAAGGAACGACATTATCTTATGCATTTTATTTATCATTTTCGGAATCAAAGCCGCATTTATTAGTTAAGGTCATTGTATTCAGAGATGACGTTAAGGTGGACAAGTGACCTTTATATTCTGTTATAATTTTTTAATTAGGCGTGAAATAATCTTATTAAGGCCGATACAACATGAATGAATTAACTTCTCAATTTGTAAATTAATAAATTTTTCTCAATTTTTAAATTAACAAATAACCTATTTATTTAAAGTTAATGTTTATTTGATTTCGTTGTCACGTCTAAGGACTAAGATGGAATGCTTCACAGCCTGTAATTATAGGCAGAAAAGGAGTGAGTTACTACTTAGACATGTGAAGTCCGCCAACACATACTCGAGTAGCGTGGCACACACACACACACACACACACACACACACACACACACACACACACACACACACACACACACACACCCACACGCGCGCGCGCACACACACACACACACACACACACACATACACACACGCAGTTAAATCTGAAAAGTGATAATTGTTTTGAGCTAAATTCGTTAGACTAATAAAGATAGGTCAAGGCGCTGATTCCTGACATACACGTACTTACCTAGTATTGGATTCAGAGGCTTCATAAGCTATTTGTTACCTAATATTATGTCAATAAAGATTATTATGGTTGTTAAAGATGGTATTTAAATATTTCTCTTATCTGATTGGGCTCTGTAAATATATAAATGGAAATGATAAATACACATAAATTAATACAGTGAAATAAATTCATAAAGAACACGTAAACTAATAAAAAGCCTTTTTATTTGCCCCTGCCGAGGTAGGGGTGACCAAACGGCCGAGGATTAGGGGGAAAAGTAAAGAAACCGGCGGTATCGAGGAGCACCACCTTCTTCATTTGAGCATGGAACGGTCCGTCACGCAGAGCCAGTCGCCTCAGATGACATGAGTGGCTGACTGGGATTAACCCGTTCGCAGAAATGACTACAGGTATGATTTCGGTCGGCAGGCCACCCCACATGTCAGTCACCTCGTAAGCCATGTCCAGATTCATTTAACCGTTTCGGCTATTACGAGCTCGACATTTGGAATGGTAATATCGACCAAAATATCCTTGAATGTGCCCGGTCCATCAGCACAATATCAGGCTTATTCACAAGAATAGTCCTTTCTGTGATGATGACGCGGTCCCAGTAGAGCCTGGCGAGGTCATATTTGAGCACGGTTTCCTACATGTACTTGTAATAAGGCAACTTCCTTATACAAGACCGTATTCAGAGTGAGCTCCTGGTGTAGAATTCTGGATACTAGGTTGTGCATATGCAAGTACTCAGAGTTAGAAAGCGCCGAACAACCGGAGATGACACGCTTGAGTGACTCACCGGGATGGCGACAAGCTCGACAGATGTCGACGGTGCCATCCCTTAGGATGTATTTCCGATAGTTGTTGGTCTTAATAACCTGACCCTGTATCGCACAGATAAAACACTCGGTTTCCCCAAAGAGGTCACCAAAACGTAGGCAGTAGTGAGAGGCAACTGTGTCTACAGAAGGTTCATGTAGAGCCTAGTAGGACCTCTTGTGGAGCTCCTTCTTTTTCCATACGGTCTTCTGAGTGGAAATGCTCTGTACTGCCGGGTCTTGCTATTGCTCGTTGGCTAAGGATAGAGAGATAAGCCCTTTATTACAAAAAATGACGTCCCTATAGAATGGATCATCCGATCTCGTCAGAAAGTAATTACGGAGGCTGCACACTTCGTGATTATGCATGGTAAGCGCGCTTAAAAAGCCACGCCCACCATGTTTCTGCAGCAAGTACAGCCTCCTAATCAACGATCTCGGGTGATGCATCCGATGGAACGTCATATTGGTGCGGTCTTTTCTATCCGAGGCGTTAAGTTCAGTTTGAGTCCACCTAAGTATGCCAAAGGTATACATGAGAACAGGCATGACCCAACCGCTATATGTGTCTTATTCACAGTCGATTCAGTATCCAGGTCAAAAATCAGGTAGCTGATAGCGAGTTGGTAATGACGGACCCGCACTACTATTTAGCATGTGTTGCAAAAAATTACAATTATGAAATTTAGAAAATATTTGACGATTTTCGCTCTTGTACTCTAAGAATTACAATATCTTTGAACAACCTCAAGGTAAATAAATGTTTGGTACTATTTTAAAATCTACGTTAAGTGGGCAAGTTTTTATATTAGCTTGTTTGAAAAGGTGTAAATATTTTTATACCACATCTGGTCAAAGAAGCAATCATTTTTTTAGTGCAGAAAAAATATTAAAATGACGTGCTCTGAACTCCAAGTCTAGTCATTATTTTAAAAAGTTTGTTTACAGTCGGATGTAGCAATCACTTCCAATTAATATCACTAACAGAAAAGGGTATAAATAAACTCAAAACGCAATAATTAAAGCCGGAAAAATAAGAAAAGTCGAAATTTTTTCACTTATTTAAAATCAAACTTTTTGATGGCTACGTGCGCTTTATTTATTTGTATATTTTTCAGAGATAGGACATTAGTCAACTTACTTCTCATAGCAGTTTGATTCTGGGACAACCTGTATAGATATGTATCTCTTTTAAGTGTCGTTTTTTTTTTCATTGAGTTTCAGATCACGACGATGTTAAAGAAGTTTTTATTTCAAAATTAAAAGATAAATTATCTGATGCGCTGCTTTGTGTGTCAGGAAATCTCTCAATTGTTGAAGAAATTGTCCAAAGTTTAATTCAAGAAACTTGTTAATTATTCCTGCATCTCTCACCAGGTCGTCATTTCATTTATTTGGGGTGGGCCTATACTTCTTTTATTAAAGATACACGGCTGCCCCTCGAGAACCTTCCTTCCTCATATGGAAACATACGTATGCATATTAGCACGATTGTTATCATTTTATTATACTGTATTTTATTGTACAATTAAAATTATCATTCCTTGTTTTGCCATAACTAAAATCACATGTTGTTTATATTGTTAAATATTTATTAGGATGCATACAAAAATATTAATTTTAAATTATTAATATTTTCTTGAAATTTAAAATTTATTTAATATGGTTCAGACCTAAACTCGCAGAAATCAATAGTTGTATTTAAGAATGGTGAGAATTTATCTTCGAACTCTTTCCATGTACAGATTCCATCTGCACAGATAGATCGAATAGGTTCTTCATTTAAGTAGAAGACGACAGCGTAATCACTCACTTCGTTGTCCACACATCTGTAATAAAATAGTTTTCCCATGTTCAACAACATTATCATAATTGTCGCATTCATTTTAAGTGTGCTTCTAAAACCATAAGGCATAATGAAAATTTTAAGAAATAGTATCAATAGTCAAAGAATTTTAAAAAGTTAAAGTTAAAACTTAAAGTTACAGCCTATATACGTCCAACTGCTGGGCACAGGTCTACTCTCATTTCTTAAAGGGTGTTTAGGATAAATGTCCGCCGCGTTGCCCCAATGCGTGTTGGCGTCACTTCACATGTCTTCGAAATATTTTATTTTTTATTTCTCAGACATGCAGGTTTCCTCACGATATTTTACTTCACCGCCGAGTACTTAATCAGCACTTAGAATTGCAATTAACAATTTAATTGGTGCCGTGCCGGCGGGAATCGAACCCGGGTTTGCTACGCGAGCAACTGTGAAACTTACAAACTGACTGTGAAACTTACAACGAGCGCTTAGCTCCTGAGCTAATACGGCTTATTTTAAAATGTTGCTTATAAATAATTATAGTTTTGAGCGATTTCAAATGTTCTGTTTCAATAGTCTGTGGAGTGGATGTCAAGTCGGAAAAACGTTTATTTTATATTTTATATGCTGATGACTTACTTGCAACAATAGAAACTTAAAAAATTACTATTTTTTTATAGGAGAGGGGGCAAACGAGCATGCGGCTCACCTAATGGTAAGTGACTACCGCCGTCCATGAACAACTGCAACACCAGGGGAACCAGGCGAATTGCAGATGCGTTGCCGGCCTTTTAAAAAGGAGTATGCTCTTCTCTTGAAGGTCCCTAAGTCGTATCGGTCCGGAAAAATCGCTGATGGTAATCGATCCTACAAGGAAGTCGTGCGAGGAAGAAAACATCTTCTAAATCGCACAGTGGTGGACCGCCAATCATCCAGATGGTGTGGATGGTATCGGGAGTTTGAATATGATATAATATAGTTCATAATATAATATTATGAACTACGGTCGGATTTACGACCACTAAGCGACCACAAGTTTGTATATATTTATAATTCAGAAAAATGAATGACAAACCTGTTTAAAACAGCAACAAAATTCACACCGAAAGCAGCCATAAAACTACTTCTCCATTTACGTTCACGTTCTCTATTGGCACTGCTCAAAGGTTTACTATCTTTAAATAAGCCCAGTGATGTATAGACCATCTCTAACATAGTTGCATGAGTAAAGTATGCTGTGATTTTCTTTTTTCCGCCGTCTTTAGTTCTTCGGAAGTTATTGAATAAGTCTCCTAATGGAATGTTGCCAAATACCTCACTTTTAGGTGCTCCATAACCGCTTTTATAGTAGGCTTTTAAATCTTCTATATATTCTAAAATTTGCAAATCATCTTTAGTGAAAAGTGCACACCATGGGCTGAGTTTATTTTCGCTTCCAGACCACGTATGGCGACAGAGGTCGTATAAAGCTGTGACGTTTGTGTCGGTGAGAATATAATCAATACCGCTTCTTCTTTGTATTCTGTCTTTAGCCTGAAAATTATAAAAAGAATAAAATAAAATCTTTTTATTCAATATAAGTTACCAATTACGTATATTGATTTTATTTTACCACTGGTTTGGAAATTACTTCTGTCCTGGGAAGAACCAGCAAGAAATCCAGTGGAATTTTTTAACTTATATAATTTTAATTAATATTGTACCTACAATTATTTGTTTGAATTATAAAATAACCATGCTATCAAGCACCTTCCCCGGCGGAAGATATCCCCTTTTCTTTCCACGGCTACAATATAAATGCATGTTACCAGAGGGCAACAGGCTGCCATCTTGTTTAAACTGATTTTCTTATCAATTGCAAGGAATCGTTATTTTCAAACGGTACAATTTCTTATTCTTTGACCAAATACAAATATAAAGGTAATATGATTTTTTACGACAAAGTTAATATTTTCATAGTTATGAATTTTTAAAAGTTTGAAAAATTCCGAATTCGAATATTTTTTACCGGTAAAAGACAAAAATGTTTAGAATAAAATATAAAACATATTTTTTATATGATTTTCCGATAGTCAATATAGTTAATATTTTCGGAGCTATGAATTTTTAAATGTTTGAAAAATCCCAGATTCGGAGACACTGTAGTGTCTCGCGCCAAATACCGTTCAACATATGTATATATGTATGTAAACGTGTAGGCGTGAGATTACAATGTTTATATTCTCGAATCAGATGTCAACATAATCTCATCGAATTTTTAACTTCATATTTTTAATTATTAACGAAACGTCAACACTTTATACAATCATTTATCATTTTGTTTCAATTGTTTCCATATAACGCTAAAAATTATTTCTATCTATCAATTGTATAATACTTTTCAATATCTCAAATATTTGCTTTCGCCGTTTTCCGATTCCACAAAAGATTTTACTAATTTCGGTTAAATTTTTTATTTATTTTTAAATATTGTTGGCTTAAATGCTTGTGTTCTAACCCATATTTTCATTTATTTATTTCCCATGTTTTAGCTTGGATGCTTGTCTTTCAAGCTATGTTTTCATTTATCTCAGTATCAAATGAGATTATTCCTATAAAGTACACTGCTTTACAATATGTTGATGCATCGCAATGGGCAGCCCTCGGGCGACTTTGACGGCAAATTGAGTGAGTAGACAGTTGGCGATAGTATGTAAAGGCATTATCTTGAGAATATTGGTATGGCGGTAGGGATGCAACATCGCTGCTATTAGTAGAATAATTGTAGCACGAATGGGTCGGCTCGACCGGGGAAGGACCACGCTCTCACAGAATACCAGTGTAAAATAGCAGCTTAATGCTGCTGTGTTTCGTATGGTTCTTTTTACTGGAATTGAGGCATTCCATCTTAGTCCTCACGCGTGGTCACCCACGCATCTGCATTTTGTTTGATGTAGAAGTCTATGGGCCACAGCAACCACTTACCATCAGGTGGACTGTGTGCTCGTTTGTCACCCTTATCCTACAAAAAAAATCATAGAATATATTATACAAGTTGATTTAAGCTTAATCAAAATATATCCTGAATATTGTTTTGAATGTAAACTTACAGCAAGATAATCCGGATTAAATTTGTATTTTTCTGCCTCGGAAAATACATTCTGGTTATGTAGCACATCCATTTGATACTTTCCGCATGTCAGATAAGGCTGAAACAATAATATTATGTGTTAGTTTAACACATGTAAACTCGTAAATCAGAATAACCGAGTCACGATTCAATATATCTGCAAAAGTTATGGTTGGCACGATGCCTGTGTATGTTGTGATTGTTTGCGTGTCTTTGCTGCGGCCTCATAGCCTTCTTTAGTTTTAAAGCTTAAGATTGTTATAATTTGCCTTAAAACAGTTTACACGTTTTATAGGGCAAATTAATTTTATAAAATGCATTGACTCACAAACTACTCATTCCTTATAAACCGGAAGACATAAATAGTGCAGCGCTGTAAGGCGGCAATAATAGATGATTGTATACATTAATTTTAAAGCACTTTAAAATGTTTTATTTAATATTTTGATATAAATATATTTAATTGTCATATTCTGGTAAAACTGTTTATGATTACAAGCTCATATTAATAATTTACGTATGAAAGACATTTCAAACAACAGCTGCATATACAGACTTTTCAAAAAATGTACCAGCTGATACGCATTCTTGGAAGTTTGGTCAATATTTACCAATTTGGGCAGACTGGTTGTGAGTACAGAGATAATAATCTCGCGTAAGCAATTTGCTCTACATCCCCAGTTTGTCAAGATTTTGCCAGCGTTGCTATCATTATGTCGGACGTAAAGTCCATATACTTACAATAAAATTAAACTTTTGACACTTTATAAGCAAGACAAGATTTCGCATGATAAACATAGTGATCATGCCAAACTGTATACCAGTTTACTAGATGACACAAAATAAGCAGAACAATCAAATTTCACTAAAAAAAAATCTTTAAATTTTTTATTCATTTATAAACAAAATAGTGCAAAAATGTTAAAATACTTACAGCCATTACATCCGAATCAGACAGAGCTTTTTCAATATGTACGTTATTACTACCAAGCCCTTTGACGAAGGCTTTTGCACTATTTTCTATCCATATTCCAAATGCTGGACGAATAGTATTACTACCCTTTTCTAAACTTTCCAACAATGCCGGGAATGCTTGCTTGAACCGTTTTCCAATCCCCAACATTTCTTCATAACCTTCCGTAGTAAGACTCCTAGGCTCACTAAACATTTTTTTATCTATGACCCAATTTTTCAAGTTCTCTATGTCTTGTGCGCAAAGAGAACTACGTCCTTTTTCATAACTTGAAATAATATAATCTCTTATAGCAAGCGCATCTTCCATTTTCCCTCCATAACTCTTCGAAGGATATCTTTTCCCATGTCTAAATAAGCCCCATATACTAATTGGTTCGCAACCTGTAACAAAAAATAATTGGTATTTGATTTGAACAAATACAATTCAGTGATGTCGATGCAACTCACCTCTTAATTTTAGTATTGAGTCCCTTATGTCGCCTCTTAATGAGTCGTATGAAGTTTTGGTAGCAAAATATTTGTAAGGACAACCACTGTTCCAATGACAAAAAGAAGCAGTACATGAACTGGATATTACTGAGAACGTTATAAGATAAAATATTTTCATATTGAACACACAATGTATTTCAATTTTTATATAAATAGTGATAAAGCTATCAAAGACTTGTTGTCCCGATCGGGGTCGAGAGATGACTAAATTAAAACTAATACTAAGACTTTAGCTAGTCTGGTTTGGGTCTCATATTATGTATATGGGTACGATGTGAACTTGTAAAACAAGAAAGAGCCTAGCGCTCTTTCTTGTTTTTTTGAACGAGGCAGACTCGTTCAGAAAAACAGTTATGGCCCTTATAAATGTAATTAGTATTGCTATATTAACTAAAGCTAATAGCCTTAGCTTTAGCAATAGCAATACTAATTACAAGCTATTATCTATTTTATAATTATCTTAAATACCGGTCTCAATTTATAATACTAATTTAATAGTCGTCAGTCAGTACATCTACTTAATCATCCCCCGTTACAGGCTATCAATAGTTTACTGCTTATAATTTAATATACTACTAATAACTTAACAGACGGTCGATAAAGTATATTATGTTCTATTTTCTTATACTTTATTTATTTTCATCATAATATCTATCTGATGTATAACAGACTAGAATTTTTATAATAAAACATCTAATAAAATTGCAAAGATAATTATTTATTTATAGCACCGACCAACCATCAATCTCAATATAAAAACAACTCTGATAGTTACCTTGAAAATACGTCTTATTTTATATAAAGAATAATATGCAATAATTTTAGATATTTTAATAAATGGTTTTTAAAAAGCTTCCATAATATTGAGATTTGGATTTGAACATACTCGTAAATCTTTCACACGAATCACGATAACATTTTTAGTATAATACATAATAATAATAATAATGTCTTCCAGACCAAATTTCGGTCACGACGGTCAGCCTCAATGGAGACTGGCCATCGGTGCAGGAAAGGGTGATAGTGCTCAAGTTTACGCGCAAGCAAAGGTGCGCTCTCCCGACCGGAGAGAGATCAAGCGCGGGAACAACACCTTTACATGTTTTTCGAGGCACCAGGTGGAACACCGCCAACTTCCTGTCTTCGGGCAGCTACTGAAAATTTCTTGCTGGAAAAGATCAATAACTGATTTTCTTTCATGATCAACAGTCGCAATACTACATTCACTAGACTGGTAAAATAAAATACATACAGGTAATATCTATCGATGTTATTGTAACGATGCATTATTATTGTTAATAAATAATAATCAAATTCAATATAACATAAACATTTAAAAATAGCATAGATATAATATTTTGAACAATTAAAATCTATTACGAGTAATAAGCATAAAGTTCAAGTCATTCATTTCGAACATTACGTGTTATACCATGGTAAAGGCTTAATTTTGTCTTTCAAAACCTTTAAATTTATTAAAACTGCGCTGAAAATATTAAAAATGTATTTAAATAATAGAAATACAAGTCGATCATCACGATCATCATCATTACAGGCTTCCCAAGTTCACTGCTGAACATAGGCTCCCCCCAAGGAATGCCAAAGGTCCAGAGCCACCTGCATGCAGCAGTGGACTTCTGATAAATTGTGATAGTGATAGTGTGATTTAACATACATTAATAAAGCATACACGCAATAAATTAATTTAAATAGAATAATGGCAGGATTTTATCAAATGTTTTGGAATGGAAGTGGTATTAATTTTAACAGTTTCATACCTAACGCTATTTTTATAGGATAGGGTGACAACCGTGTGCACCTGATGGTAAGTAGTTGCTGTGACCCATAGACCTTCACATCTATCCTATACGATATATGTTCTACTATATCAACAAAGAGAGCCGCCTTCGCCAGCTCAGCGTCGAGTCAATAAACGGCACACTACGACTTAGAAGCCGTATTCGAGCGGTCTGGGACATGGAGGAAGAATTCAAGAACCCGCTAATAATTGACGGTGATCATCATACAGTCAAGCTCTGGATGCAGGTTATACATCGGCAAGTCCATCACGCCGGTGTAGAGGCCACAGTCAACGAGTGCCGGCAGCAGTATTGGGTACTGAGACTGCGCCCTATCGTACGCATAATACTACGAAGATGCCTATTCTGCAGAATGAAGACGCAAGTACCGCCGCATCCGAGAACCGGGGACCTGCCAACATCTCGCTTAGCTCACCACAAGCGCCCCTTCACCTACACCTGGGTGGACTATTTCGGACCTCTTTCGGTGACCGTTGGACGAACTCGACAAAAGAGATATATGGCCATTTTTACTTGTCTCACTACGCGAGCCATACATCTGGAAGTCGCCGGCTCACTTAGCGCTGACTCCGCGGTAATGGCCATAAGGCGAATGATCGCGTGGCGAGGCTGCCCGACAGAAATATGGTCAGAAAACGGCACCAACCTGAAGGCAGCCGATGAGGAACTACGACAGGCGGTCGACGCAGCGACCGCAGAAGCAGCGAAAAGGACTATCTCCTGGCGCTACATCCCGCCTGGAGCTCAGTTTATGGGAGGAGCCTGGGAGCGAATGGTTCGCTCCGTCAAGACCGCTCTCATCGCGACGTTACACGAACGTCATCCGACAGAAGAAGTCCTCACGACACTACTGGTAGAAGTAGAATACACCGTCAAGAGCCGCCCGCTGACTCACGTCTCAGTCAGTCCAGAGGATCCAGAAGCTCTCACTCCTAACCACTTCTTGTTGGGAGGATCGGGACGAGTACCACAGGCAGGTACTTTCACCGAACAAGACACCCTCTTATGGTCGAGTTGACGAGCTGCGCAGAGGCTAGCCGACCTGTTCTGGCTACGCTGGGTGAAGGAGTACCTCCCTGAGCTCCAACACCGGCGGGAACCCCACGGACGAGGCCAAGCAGCACGCGTCGACGACCTAGTACAGATCGTCGATCCCAACCTGCCCCGCAACGTGTGGATACGAGGAAGAGTCATCGCTACATATCCGGGTCCCGACAACGTCATGCGGACGGTGGACGTGCTGACCAAGGGAGGTGTCCTACGCCGGCCAGTGAGGAAGCTTGTGATCCTGCCTCTATATACGGACGTCGAGCCCGCACCGGAAGCTGATGCGACGCGGTCGCACGGCGGGAGTAATGTGCGGGACAAGTGAAAACAAATAGTGATAGGATAATACATAAATAAGACAAACATTTTATGTTATATTAATGGAACAAATATTATAGTTTAGAGTTTATACTTAAATAGGATATAAGCGTTTATGTTATATTAAACTAAATAAAGATTATAGAATTACACATAAAATAGGATATAAGCATTTGTTATGATAAGGAAAATAATAGTTTAGTGTTTATATCTGTATAATAGAATTAGTTTTAATGTAAACAATGACTCAGTAAGGTGGTCACTTTGTATAGTAGAACTAGCTTAAGGTAAACAATGTAACGTGACTCAGCAAGGTGGTCACTTAACATCGTCACTTGCTCTGTCACGCCTCGCGCTGATTGGTCGACGCCGTTTGTACGATACGTACACCGTATCTATTGACCCAGTGGAGGTGGTATAAAAGAGGGGCGATTTTCGTCGTTCGACAGAGTCGGCGGCCAGCTATCTCAAGAAAGACATCAAATATAGAAGAAAAAAATATCTCAGTGGTTTTATTCTCCACCAACCCAGCACAAAATTGTGCCTGTAGGGCACAGATAGCCTCGCGAACCATCATTGCAAGGAATAGGTGTTGTTTAGCGTGAATTTGTGGTCTATCAAATCTAATGTAGTGACGGGGGCGATCCTATACGTGTTCACAGACTGCAGACTTCCCAGAGCATTTATTCTTCACATAAGTTATGTGTTCTTTAATGTGGGTTGTTATTGATAAATTACTATGTTTTGGATATGTTTTCAGTTATCGTGGCTTTTGCTATTGAAAGGCAAAGTTACATAAATATACATAAACACTCACGCCTGTCACCCAGAGGGGTAGGCAGAGACTACGGACTTCCATTTGGCGCGATCCTGACACACCTCTCTCGCTTCTTTTACATCCATATATCTACGCATACACGCTCGTCGGTTAAGGGTACTCCTAATCTGGCCCATTTTTAATGTATCGCCGATTTGGTCGATAAACCTTCGTCTAGGGCGTCCCTTCCCGACCCTGCCGTTCACTTCCGCAACATAAATTTGCTTTGTCACTCTTTCCTCGTTCATTCTTTCTACATGACCGAACCACCGAAGCATTTCTTTCTTAATCCTTGTCACAACGTCATCTTGCAAACCACACTTTTCTCTTATCACACTATTTCTCACCCTGTCATTCAGATTCAGCCCTAGCATACTCCTTAAGGAACGCATTTCTACAGCATTTATTCTACTCTCATGCTTCTTCTGCCAGACCCAACTTTCACTACCATACATTAAAGTAGGGACTAACACAGCATTATGAATTGCCATACGTGCCTTAGTTGACACGTTCTGACTCCTCATAATAGCGTGTAGAGCCCCATTCACTCTATTTCCTGCGTTCACTCGTCGTTCTATATCCTTATCATATCTACCATCCCTGCTAAATAAACATCCCAAATATACAAACTCATCCACTTGCTCAATCAACTCCCCTTCTATTCTTATTTCACATAAAGTTTTACTTTCTTCTCTTTCAAAAACCATCACTTTCGTCTTACTTGCGTTCACTTTCATACCCCTTTCTTTCAATGACCAATTCATTAAAGTAACCATCATTTGCAACTCGGCCGCCGACGATGCAAATATGACTTGATCATCGGCGTACAAAAGGCATTTGACGGTTGACTCATCCATTCTCAGCCCACATTCTTCAACTTTCAAAGTTTGCAAACAACTGTCCATAAATAAGTTAAACAGCCACGGGGAAGCCACACATCCCTGTCTGACCCCTTCTTGAATGCCAAACCAGTCCGAGTACACCCCGTTGATCCTGACACAAGCACTATAGTCCCTATAAAGAGACCTTAATGCCTGTATCAAGCCAGCGCTCAACCTAAATGAGTTCAGTGTTTGCCATAACACATTCCTGTCCACTCTGTCATAAGCCTTTTCCAAGTCCATGAACGCACAAAAAACTTTCTGGTTTTTAGCCAAAAACTTCTCCGCTATCATGCGCATGGAAAAGACTTGATCCGTACACCCCATCCCCTTTCTAAATCCAGCTTGCACATCCCAAATTTTTCCATCAGTTTCTTCCATAACTCTTTCAATTAACACCTTAGCATACAGTTTACCCACAATGCTAAGCAAGCTGATACCACGGTAGTTTTTACAGTCCTGCTGCGACCCCTTTCCCTTATATATTGGGACTATAATGGCTTTGCACCAGTCTTCCGGTACCCGTTTCAGTACCCAACATAAATTAAACAAGGTGTGCAGCAGGCCTGCAACCACACCCTCACCAGCCCTTAGCATTTCGAGTGATACTCTATCATATCCGGCTGCCTTATCTGCTTTCATGCTTTTCATTGCTTTCATTATTTCATCTACACTTATCTCCCTACCTCTCTCCACTTCTTCCGGAATTTCTATTTCACTTATTCCAGACGACTCTTCACTCTTAAACACGCTTTCAAAGTATTCCTTCCATCTCTTTAAATTCGAAACTTCATCATTCAGCATGCAGCCATTCTCGTCTCGTATAGCATTTATTCTAGGCTGTTTTGAATTTCCCCTGGCAGTTCTTACGAGCTTCCAGAACATTTTAATATTTGCCTGGAAGTTATCAGATATCCTTCTATCATTCTTATCTATCCTTTCTTGCTTTTTCCTTTCAACAACTTCTTTTACTCTCTTAATTATACGTCTAAAGTCTGCCTCTTTTCTTTCAATCTCATCATTCATACCGCCAGAATTAAAGGCAAAGTTGTAGAATAAATAATAGTAGCCATTTACGCAAGACAGTATTATACTGCACGAGTATATGCATAAAATACTAAATACTAAACTTCGGCACGACCGGAGAGAGATCAGACAAATTATATATTAATCATCAGACAAAATATATATTTTCCGTGTTTTCGGAAACGTGGTGTGAAACACCGCCAAATTCTTATTACCGAAGTCTGGAATTTCTTAAGAAAAATGCAGTTGTCAGCCTTGAGGACTAAGATGGAACGCCTTGTTTCCAGTAAAAAAGGTCTCCGGTTCTCTACACTCACCATACGAAACAAAACAGCGAGCGTGGTCCTCCCGTGGTACTCCAGTCGAGCCAACCCATTTGTGCTCCAAAAATTATACATATAGCTGTAGCGTGCCTCGTCCAAATATTAATTTATTTTAGCCCAAATCGAAACTGAAGTATGGAATCTCGTAAAACAGTTCAGCTTACGGCAACTACAAACAAATGCAGTCATTGTCAAATGGATATCATAGTAGCTGCATATAGACATTCTACCTGACCCGGAAAACGTTTTTTTGCCATATACATTAAAAATCGTGATTAAATAACAGGGGTTGATCGTAGAAGGCGAAAATTTAAAGTTATAATAAAATTTAAAGTTTTATGTATTTTTCAATGCTAAATCATAATAAAATAAAAATAAAAAAATTTGTCAAAATCAAAAAAAAATATTTAGGGGTGGGTCACCCTTATCATTTAGGGGTATGATAAATAGATGTTGGCCAACTCTCAGACCTACCCGATATGCACACAAAATTTCATTCAAATCGGTTGAGCCGTTTCGGAGGAGTTTTGTACAATACAAAGTCTAAGAGAAAGCGCTACAGAGCACACTTTGGACATATTATTTATTTATCTATTTGTTAACTTTTTAAATCAATGACAGAGAGATTCAAGTTCTACCATTCAATATAATATACCTTTAATAAGTAAGCGTCTTTCCTTTTCCACTTTTTGCTGTCTTAAAACTTTTTAGCAAGTTTGATAGGGGAATTTGCCCAAATATTTTATTAATTGCATTACCATAACTATTTCTATAAAAATACTTCAAGTCGTCTACGTACTCTATAGCTTGTATGTCTTCTTTAGTAAAAATCGCGCACCAAGGACTAAGTGTGTTGTTAAAACCTGAAGAGGTATAGCGACATAAATAATATAAGGCTGTTATATTTTCGTTTGTTAACGTATAAGCAATGTCCGCTAACTGTTGTATTCTGTTTTTTTACCTAGAATGTATTAAACGATAATTAAGTTATATAAACGCTGCGTGTTCGAGGAAAATGAAAATATCAGTAAGTAATTTATAATCATAATATTAATTTACCTTAACTGATCATTTAACACAAACCTTGAATTTACTAAATGGACGTATGTATAATTAAAAATTAAACAAGGAAAACTAACTGCAAGATACTCTAACGTATTTTGATATTAATATGCTTCTGCGTATGTTTCTGTATTATTTTTCACTTTATTTACGTAGAAACTACAAGTTTCATAGGGCTAAAATTTAATAGGTAAAAAATAAATTACGACAACAGAAATACATTAATTACTTGAAAATCGATTTTCTGTTTTTTTTTATACCTACAGCTATTGTGTCATAGTTAGCGTTTGATTTTTCAACTATCGTTGACGTATTTCCGAAACCTTAAATGCTTTTACGCCGTTTTCTATCCAAGCTCCATATGCTGAACGTAGCTTGTAATCTTTATCATCCAAGGACATAATTAAATCGTTAAATGCTTTTCTTATTCTGTATCCTATTCTAAATATTTCTTGATAGCCTTCATCAACAATTTGGTGGAAATTTTAAAACATATTTGGGTCTGCTTCCCAATTATATAAATTCTACATCTTGAGCACACATAAAGCCTTAGCCAATTTCATAGTTCAATTTGGTAGTGTATTACATTGTTGTTGCATCTAACATGTTCAAAATCATTACCTGGGTTTCTTTTTCTATGTCTTACTAAACCCAAAGACACTAATTGCTTTACACCTTATCGATATTATGACACTTAAATAACAGGTTTTAAATGATTTAGCTATTAAAATTTTCTTGATGAAATACCGCAACGACCAAAAGGAATAATTGAAATCACTTACCTTTTAATTTAACAATTGAATCTCTGATATCTCCTCTGACAAACTGGTATGGTGTTTTGCTTGAAATATATTTATAATGACAATTTTCACTCCAGTAACAATTTGATATTGACAACTTTATAACAGTAAGGACTATGGATAATATTGCTATAATTTTCATTTTTTCTAAGCATAGGCTATTTTTATAAAATAAATTAACACAAGTTATAGTTTTTATGAGCTCAACATGCAACTAAATTAAAATACTTATTGTTCGTGTATATGAATTGCATCTTACATTAACCGGTTTCGGCACGTAAGTATATTCCATAACGTAAATACAAATTTCTTGTTTATCAACTTTGAAATTAAATTTTTTTTTAAATAGTATTTCAGAGTGCCAAACAAAGTAACAGACTAACTGGCGGTGAGTAGCTAATTAAGCAAATGGGTACTTGTAAATTGGAGATAAGGCCACAGTCATGTATAGTCAGGCCTTAAGTTAAAATAACTTTTAGCCTGTAATTATATTTGCTCAATTCTATCCTTCAAAAAGGAATACAACTGAAGATGCACCTCTGATAACAATAAAATATGGGTACTGCTTTTTTGTTCACACTTTTATTTTATATTACACTGGCACCACTAATAAGGTTTTTTAAAGATGCGCCAGGTGGTATATTAAGTTGGTTCAAATCACTTGTGGTTTTATAATATAATCCCATCGAGTGATATTAATTTGCTATTGGTAAGATTAAGAAGCAACGTAACGGACATACAATCAGGGTTTTTACATAAGCGACTTTATGGGAAACGAATCAGTATTACATAAATCACAGGGGACATACGAGTATATTATTCGAAATATTATGGTTTAACTAAGAAAATATGTCAAAAAATTATAGTCTATTATCTAAAATAATAATGATTTGGTCCATTAATATTAACCCCATTTAATTAACTCAGCTTAAATTGCTTAATGCTGCTGTGGTTTCGTATGGTAAGTGTAGAGACCGGAAACCCCTTTTGACTGGAACGAAGCATTCCATCTTAGTCCTCACGGGTGACAACGTAACTGCAATCTATCTATCGAGGATTTTTAAGCAGTGCTAGAGCCACGTGGCAGCTTTTGCTGTCGCACGGATGGGCCAGCTCGAACCGGGGTGGTACCACGAGCTCAAGGAAAACCAGCGGTAGTAGAAGTTTACTTCTGCATTTCGCCTGGTGAGTGCGGGTGGCTGGAGGCCCAATTGAGGTCGCTCAGCTGGTGATCTTCTAGGTTACCTAACTCATAGACGGGCGGAGGCAGTGGAGTCCAAGGGGGAGGCGTTGGCCGTTAGTTTGGACATAGCTAAGGCCTTCAATAGGGTTCGGCACAATGCGCTTCTTTTGAAGCTGCCTTCCTATGGGATTCCCGAGAAATTGTGCAATTGGATCACCATAGACGGTGCATGCTCCGATTACAAGCCCATTAACGCTAATGTTCCACAAGAATGCGTGCTATCACCAACGCTGTTTCTTCTGAATATCAATGATATGTTGCAAACCAGTAACATTCATTGCTATGCAGATGACAGCACTGGTGATGCTTTATACACCGGCAGTGCCAATATTTCTCGGGAAAACGTCTCCGAATACCGGAACAAACTTGTGTCTAAAGTCGACTGGAGGCAACTAAATCTAGTCCAATTCAATCCCCAGAAGACACAAGTTTGCGCATTTACCGCTAAAAACAAAAAAAAACCCTTTGTCATATCTCCTCAGTTTCAAAGCACTCCCCTTGTTGCCTCAGCCAGTATCGGAATCCTCGGTGTCGATATATCGAGTGACGTGCAGTTTTGTGGTCACTTGGAAGAGCCAAATTCACAGGTCACTTGGCCATATTGGCCTCTAAAATGCTTGGCGTACTCAACAGAGCGGGACAGTATTTCATGCCGGCACATCGCTTGCAACTTTATAAGGCGCAGGTTCGGCGTTACATGGAATACTGTTCCCATATCTGGGCAGGCCAGCTCCTTCCACTTGACCGAATACAGCGTAGAGCGGTTCGAATCGTCGACAACCGAGTTCTATCCGATCGGCTTGACTCACTGGCACTGCGTAGAAATGTTGCATCTCTTTGCGTATTTTATTGCATCTATCACCGGGAGTGCTCTGAGGAATTGTTCAGACTAATTTCAGCCGCTCAATTTAACCATCGCACATCGCCACAAAACTCGCGATACCATCCATACCTTCTGGATTATTGGCGGTCCACCACTGTGCGATTTAGAAGATGTTTTCTTCATCGCACAACTTCCTTGTGGAATCGATTACCACCAGCGATTTTTCCGGACCTATACGACTTAGGGACCTTCAAGAAAAGAGCCTACACCTTTTTAAAAAGCCGGCAACTCATTTGCAATTCCCCTGGTATTGCAGTTGTTCATGGGCGGCGGTAGTCACTTGCCATCAGGTGAGCCGCATGTTCGTTTGCCCGTCTCCTATAAAAATATATTTACAATATACGTAGAGAACAACAATATGGACAGTAAAATTAACATAATATACAACATTTCGTTTGAAGTCGTTGAAAGTATTTGTGTGAGGAGTATAAAATAGTTTGCATTATCGTCATAAATATGTCGATGTCACTATACGTCGTTCCGTATTTTAATTGTTTTTAGAATTGAATGCTTTTATTTTTTCTATTCATTACATTTTTTTTATAGGATAAGGGTTACATACGAGCACACAGTCCACCTGATGGTAAGTGGTTTCTGCGGCCCATAGATATCTACATATATCCTCTTTTACAAATCAAAATGTAGATGCGTTGTCACCCGTGAGGACTAAGATGGAATGCCTCATTTCCAGTAAAAAGGGCCTCCGGCCACCTGCACTCACCAAGCGAAACGCAGAGGTAAACCTCTACTTCACGCTGGTTTTCTGTGAGGTCGTGGTACCACCCCGGTTCGAGCCGGCCCATCCGTGCGACAGCAAAAGCTGCCGCGTGGTTCTACCACTGTTTATTTTTTTATTTAGTCAATACATACCTATTTAATGTACAATTTAACATAATTATGGAAACAATTATTATAACTACATGTTATCTAATTCTACACTTTGAATATTCTAAAGATAAAATTGGCGTTATGTTTCATTTCCCATTATTCAGTCATAATACAATTATGTGTTATGTTCATTTTTATATTGACAACAAAGCGATTTTAATTTATGGACATTATGTGACACGATCATAATATTAATATTAGGTATTTTAATTTGACTTACATATATTGCGTTTAAAGACACATGATAACATTTCAGTAAGTAAAAAAATGTCCAGTTTTATTAATTTTGTTTCATGATACATTAAATACATTTATAAAATAAAACCTAAACTTTAAATTTAAAATATTTTTTTTTGTAAAGACGATTGGACACGTATAATTGTATCAAATAATAAGTAATTATTAATCTTTTTTACGTGCAGCTATTTTATTATTGTAGCACAAATGGGTCGGCTCGACCGGGGAAGGACCACGCTCTCACAGAATACCAGCGTAAAATAGCAGCTTAAGGCTGCTGTGTTTCATATGGTGCGTTTTGAGAACCGGAGACCCTTTTTACTGGAAACGAGGCATTCCATCTTAGTCCTCCATCGATAACAGCTTGACCTGGAAAATAGCCCACTGGCCAAGCTACCAGGTAGGCATGTTATCATAGTACATACTAACACTACGTAATGTTATACATTTCGTTCGTCAGAAAATAAGTAACATCTGGTGACTCAGATATCTTAGACTAATAAATTTGTAAGCCCATATTGAAGAGTAGCAGGGTCCGTAAATTAATTTTTGTTTGCGAATCACTTTGTCACGTCACTGACTAGAGTATTATACGCAACGTTTTTTTTTTAACTTTTTATCATAATATATTAGTGCATTTCGTATTGGGGTGGTACCGCAAAACTGTTTTAAAACCTTTAAAAATCTCACAAAGAGCAATTTTAAAGTTTTCTGCCTTTTGACCTATCTTATATCCAGCTCTAAAAAGTTAATTACGTTCTTATTGTACAACAATTGTTTATATCACTTCCAGTGATGTTGGAATACCGTAAGGTTCCTTATATCGAAATTACCAAGCGGCGTAAGGACAAAATCTGCAGTATTCCGACAGTCAACTCTCATCGTTTTGTTAAAAGTTTATTCCTATATATCGGTCCCCTTTTTAATAATAAAATTATCTTTAATAATCCTATTTATGAACTATCTAAGACTAACTTAATATCTGTTCACGCCAGGGCCTACTTCCAGCACATTTTCTGTCTACTCATCTAAGTGGCTCCTGTTTAGACCACACTTTACTAAAATCTAAGTTACTATCTATAACCCTTGTCACCAATCCTATAGTATCGATTGTAGTACCGTCATTCTTAACTTAAGCCTTAAAATACCTAAACCTAAGTGTAATACTCCATTCCTAAAACTAATACGAAAAGCCTTAAAAAGGAAATTCAAAACATTGACTTAAGCCCAGTTTGTAAAAGCAATGACGTAAACATTTCTTTTCCTTAATTAATAAATAACGTACGAAATGCCACAGTCAGCAATACTAAAAAAATAATAACTTGTAGCCTTGGATTACACCCGATCTAATTATGTGCATAAAAACATATGTAGGTACAAATTACACCTGATGGCAAAATCTTCTTCAGATAATTCCGTTTTACAAATTTCATATGAAAGATACAGGATTTTTCGTAACAATTTATTAATATATCTTCATCAGAATTAATACAAAATAAATCCTCGCCACTTACTTCAGCAAATACAGCTGTTGGCGATGCGTCTTTAAAAACATTTCAATTTATTAGTTAACCGATTACGAATAGCTTCCAAAAGCAAAATTATCAATCTCTTAAAGAAATATCGAATCTTAAAGAAATATCGAATTAATAATTTGAAGGTCTTGGGTTCGATTCCCAGGCCGGACTAGTTCGTTGTTTTCTTAGTAATATTTTCTTAATAAATTCATAAAGGGAATTTTTAAGATATAAATTATGTTTCCGGGTTCAGTTCCCCGGTTGAAATTACCTTTCCAATAACATTTTTAATTTAAAGAAATGTTATAATAAATTTAGAGACCAGGATTTGTTCCCTGGTCGAAATGATCATTTTGTTTATAAGTGGAATAATG